AAGCTGTCTGGTGATCAGTTAGAGCTGGAAGGACTTAGCTACGCTAACACTCTGTATTTTACTCTCCTAAATGAAGGACAAGTGAGTTTTTGCTACTAATAAGGTTTCATTGTCCAATTTTTGTTTGTTTGTTTGTTTTTTGTGGTTTTTTTTGTACCAGGGATCGAACTTGGGTCCTTGCGCCTGAGCAGCAGGCAGCGAAACCAGAGCTAAATCCCTGGCCCGGTTTGTTTGTATCTTTATGTGAGTCCCTTCTAGGTGGGCTTATTCTTGATTAGTTTTTGTTCATTTTCGGATGAGGAAGCCCGTAATTATTTCATTACAAGAAATTGGTTTTCTTTTTGCAATACGGGCTTCACGGAACTTAAGTGCTTTCCGGCATATTATTCCCTTCAGGCTTTATAATCCAGCAGTTGCTTTATCTTTAGTCAATAAGCTTTTCCCCCAAGTCTTTCCCATTCTTCACAAAACTGAACTCTTTTAATCCCACTCTATACTCTAATACAATCTTAGCATACTTAGTTGACAAAACAGAGGACACCTGAACTCTCTCAATTCTTTCCTCATCCACTTCCAAATACCTCTTTTCTCACTTCTGCAAATCCTCAAGTTTTGCCTCAAAGGAAACAGGAAGATATATACAGAATTGAGATAGATGATGCAGCAAGATCTTATAGGAAATAGGATATCAGATCAAAGAGTACTCACAGGGGATTTGCTTTTAAAAATTAAATTCATAGATTGTTTTTATATGTAATTTATATTTAAATGTTTTCTTCTCTATTAGATCATTGATCTGTATATAATGTTCCCCTACAAAGGTCTCATAGATCTGCTTCTTCAAGTCCATGTTATAGACCTTACCACTCATGGCTAAACTGCTTGAGAAGAATGGCTTGCATTTATTCACACTGCATTCTTCCTGCTCATTCTATATTAAATTGTTTGTATACAGAAATATTTTAAGCATATTAAAGATCAGATGAAGATATAATCAAAGGCCTCTGTGTATCAAGGTTGCTGCTTACTGTTAAGAAATCTTGTTCCTCTTCTCTTCTCCAGAGATAATCACTATGCTGAGTTTGATGTTTATCAGTAACATCTGTTACAATTTTACTACCAATGGATGGTTCTATAAGCTATAGAGTATTATGTTACATATTTAAAATTTTTATAAAAACTTGTTAAAGTATCTTAACTCTACAATATTTCTTCTCATTTGGGATATTTATTGTCATTGATAAGTGAGAAAATGAATAGATAAATGTTTGATTAAAAAGGAGAAGTGAGGATATTGGATATATGAGGAGAATAAATGTTTGAAATGGTTATTGCAAAGAATGGAGAGTGAACTTATCAGAGAAATGATCAGATTAATTGGTAAGGGTGATTATTAGAGGTTGACAATAATGAATCTACAGTGTAATCAAGAGAGCTAGCAAATCATGTGAATTCTCTTTGCTATTTAGAAGCAGGGTAAGAGTAAGTGGAAAAATATTCTTTTTTTTTCTGTGGAGAGATAGTTGCCTGACTGACATTAAGGGGCAGAGTTCAGGGTACTGGCAAAAGAATTATTGAAACAATAGACCACTACATCTAAGCTGGAAGAGAGACCTGATGAATTGGAACAAGAGAGAAAAAAAACCCCTTACAATCCCAGTAAGATAGAAGAATGGTAGAAGTAACAGTAAAAATATGGGAGAGTGTAGTCAGAGAGGAGAGTATGACTGAATTACTAATTTTAGAAGTAGAGAAGTTATGGATGTTGAAAAGGCCCAGGATGGATACCCGAGGCAGAAGAGTATATAGACAGTTGCTTAAGACAAAAAAGGATTGAGGGAGATCAGCATGTTAGATTGTTTGTTCATCTGAGTGTTGAATTATCTAGTATGATGGCAAAGACTGAATGGAAATGAAGACTGAACCAGATGTCAGAATCATCTTTAGGGGAAAATGACTTGAGACATCAGCAGGTGATACAGTTGAATGGCCTGGGCCTCTTGCAAATAGTTTTTCCTAGACAGTGCTGCTAAAGTGGAAGTACTAATAGAGAAAAAGATGCTTTCTGCAACTGTCAACTCTGGATACATAAGAGTGTGAGAACAAAAATTAGCTGGCAAATAGATGAGTAGGGAAAATACAGTAAATGAATGAATGATCACAGGACTACAATTCAGTATTATCAAAGAATTTACTTGAAATGCTGGATATTTAAATAGTTTTGGAAAAAATCCTGGATGACTGACTGCTAAGTAATTAGTACAGTTGGGATCTTTTAAGTATAATCACTATAGCAAGAGATAAGAAATATACACAATTTGAATATTTCTATCTCAGTAAAAACATAGCTAAAATTCATTACATTTACAGTGTGTTTTATATAAAGATCCTGGAGAGAATCATTTCCTTTAATTAAATGACAGGAAAATATTGGTTTCTTCAGTTGAACATATATATCACATTCTTTTATTAGAGAATGAGAGAATTTTTTCTTTTTTTTTTGGTATCGGGGATTGAACTTGGGACTTTGTGCTGGCGAGGCAGGCAGCAGAACCACTGAGCTAAATCCCCGGCCGAGAACGAGAGAATTTAATATACTACTCTTTAACACACAGGCTATTTGAGAAACTAAACTTCTTAATATTTTCGTCTTGATTAGCTCAGAGTCTGATATATATTTGTTTAATAATCATTTGTTATATGGTTTTAGTAGAAAAAGTACAGAACTTGTAGCCATAGAGATTTGGATTCTCCTGTTTACTAGCTCTTAACCTTGGGCAATTTTGCTTCTTTCTTTGCAAAGTTGGGTTTAAAGAACTTAATTTTCAGGGTTACTGTAAGGTTTAAATGAGACAAAAATGTAAAGTACTTTGACAGAGAGTAGGAACAAACTAAAAAAAAGTAATATAGTTTTTATTGTAAATATCTAATCTATAACTTTCATATTTTGGAAGTATTGTAAAAATTAAAGTTACATTGTGAAATGAGTGGATAAAAATTTTTTTAAAATTTAAATTTTTGTAGACAAGCACTGAAGATTTTTAGATGAGTCTTTGCACTTAATTTTCCATTTGCAAATGTTGTTTGTATCCATTCAATATAAGAAAAGTTTGGATGCCTATTAAGTGTCATGTACTATTAGGATCTGGAGATACAGTAATGAACAGCCAAAAAAGTCTTTTGTTCTTAAAAAGTCATGGTCTAATTGAAGAAGACTTTAAATATTAAGTTTTAAACTAATGCTCTTTTTATATTCTAATACTTATTCATACCTTTAGAAAAGAAGAATTTCTTAACTATTTTCCTTCTTTCCAACCCCAGTCCTATTTCTCTATAGACAACTGGTTCTTACTGGTAAGGATATTTACGGCTTTCTAGTCCATTCCTCCAGAGAAAGAAAGTGCAGAGTAAACTAGCTACTAAACACAATGGCATTCTAGAGATAATTAATTTTCAAAAAAGTTTAGGGTTTCTGTACATGAAAACCAATATAAACAGATACAAGCAGAGCTGTCACGCACTAGGAAAAAAAAGATGGGAGGATTAAGTTACATCTATTATGAGCTTACAGCAATTTAATTACCAGTAGTAATTTTTAAGAAAAATAAAGGAATATACTACCCATTACATTTATTTACCAATTTAGGATAATTGAAGCAGTATCTTTCACTGTGTTTACCTTGACAGAAAAATTTGACTACGATAGTAATGACCCAGAATAATATGGCACAAAAATCAGATCCTGTTCCTTGTCCTCTTTTTAAATTAACAAGAAAAACCATGGACAAAATGGAAGCTGGCAAAACTTTCTAAATTTAATTGAGTACAGGTTGGGACATTCTTTTAAAAACTAGCTACTATGTCAAGAAGAGTAAATTATTTCTTTATGATTAAATTGTAATTTAATATTAATATTTATATAGTCCACATACCTCAAGAAAAATAAGGTGAATTTAAAAGGCTGTACATTTTATCTATAAAAAGATATAAATTTATTCTTACCAGAGGCCCTCTTATTTTGGTGCAGGATAGTATTCCTTTTTTTCCATGAGGGAATAGATTCTTTCTCAGTAGTTTTAAGAGTCACAGACTGATAACTTTCTTCAAAAACAGGGGTTCTTTGGGTGCAATATAATGTCCCATTTTGCTGGGCAATCATTTGAGTACTGTCTGAATGATTTGTTTTTGCTAAAGTTTGGCACTTGGAAGAATAGTAAGAGGGTAAAGCTGGTATCACAGTGACCAGGTCAGAACAAGCATCTGGGAGTGGAGGACTACTTTCTTGATTCCAATGATTGAAACTGTGTTCTGTGGGAAGCACATATTTTGAATTAAAACAGTCATGTGTAATGATGTTTCGAGAATTTTGCGGCATTACTGACTGACACTGAGACACTTGAACATTTTTACTACTTCTAATATTTGATACAGGTTTAGGAGGAGGATGAGGTATGATTAGTTTACCCTGAGCTTGTATAAAGGCATTGGCTTTGCTTGCAGATTGTGGTTGAATGATAGGGCCTTTTCCCTTTGTATCTATAAATCCTGATTGGACTTTTGCAGATCCTGTTCTTCTAATTATTTTTGCTTCATCTCTCTGTGGCCTGCTTTTCTGAGGTTTTGAGTCACTGTTATGTACAGGGCTTACACTTTCTTCTTTGGAGACTGGCCAGGCTTGCTTAGTAAAGTTATAACCTGAGGGTACAAAACAGTTCAAAGGCACATGATCTTTTCCAGATCCTCCTAATGTAGAGACATTTTCAGAGATGTCCTCGGACTTATTTCTATCAGCAGAATTTACAGCACAAGCGGGACCATTAATTATGTTGCTGCCAGCACCACTTTGAGTATGGAATTGTTGTGGCCACTGTCGAATTATTCCTGTTCTGTTCTTCAGTGAGTGAGTGTCTTCAGCACTGCTTCCCATATGAATAGTTTCATCAAACCACCTCAGTTTTTTAGTAGTCTTTAGGATTTCTGCACCTTTTTCTTTTTCCTTTGTTAATTCAATACTATCTCTGATAGCTGCCGCTTTTTGATTTCTGAACTTAAAGCCTTGCTTTATAATTAGTGCCTTAAAATAATCATGTTCATATTTAGATTCTTTCTTTAAAATACTTTTAAGAAATTTCACACCATTTCTCTCATAAATGTTGTATTTCATTTTCTTGTGCTCATCAAGTAAGTCATAATTAGAAATTTTATTACATAATGATGTTGATGTTTCAGTTATATTTTGGTTTTTATCTTTTGAATCAGAATTTTGAGGTATATGGGCAGCTTGAAAACTGTCAGAAAATAAAGGCAACTTTTTTTTCTCATAATTAAAATGTTTTATATTTTCATCTTTAACATCTTTTAATTCATCTAGCTTATCAGAACACTGTACTGGGTCAATTTCTTTTATGTGTATATTGCTCTTTGCTAATGGCCTAGCGGACTGTCTATTAAATGGCAGGACTAAAGGTGTCGCCATTGGTACAAATGAAGTAGGTACTGAAGCAGTTCTATTTTCTTGAGTTAATTGACAATATTTCTCTTGGTCTGAAAATGTAGACACCTCCTGGGTTTGAGAATCTGGAGTGGTCCAGGCTTTGCTGAATTTAAATGTTGGGGTCTCTGTAACTAATGGCTTCTCCCTTTTGAGTGCTCCAGAAGTGAAGTCACTTGTCTTCGTAGTGCTAACTTCAGAGTTTTCTTCAGTTTTTTTATTTAGTACAACTACGGGTGGACTATATACAGAAGCTACTGAATTATTAGTAGTACTTGTGGATCTTTCTACAGTTCTACATAAAGTAGACTGATTTTGTTCTTTATTATTAAAATGTTCCCATGAAGACAAAACACTAGATTTACTTAAAATATCTGAGAAAGGTATGACAGGCTGAGTATTTTGAGCATCTAAATTTGTAAGCCAATCATTTATATGTTGAGTTTTAGAGAAGGACAGTTTATCTTCATCAAAGTGGTTTAGATTAGTTGACTGCAGATTTGCTGATTTGAGAGAAACAGAATCCTGTTGGATTGGTGTAGCAGGCTCCTTATTAAATGCTAAGTATATTTCTTCATGCTCTCCAGCCTCAAGACTGTCTATACTCGAAAGGGTTTCAGAATTGGTTATCTGCTTAACTTCATCACAAAATCTCTAGAAAAAAAAGGGAGAACATTGTTTTATGCCTTAGACATTTTTAAGTAGTAAAATTAATCACACACAACTGTTACTGAGTCCAATTCTCTTCAGCACATACGACTATAACAGCAGAGATGTAGAAATAATTTATATCTATGCACTGGTCAGTCCTCAGGGTAAAAAATAGGAGGGTTATATAGATTTATAATGAAATATGCTTGCTTTAATTTCAACTCCTAAAGTAACTATCCAGTTATTCTAGCCATAGTTATAGCTTAGAAAATGTTTTCTTTTCTTTTTTTTTGCTTAAATTCTTTTATTGGTACAGCTTAGGTATACAATAGGTTTACATTTATCATTGGGTGCTTGTACCTGTACATGATGTATCTTGGTTCTTATTTTTTCCC